GAATTATTATTTTTTAAATTTTATTATAACAATCAAATTTACTGTTTGAATCTTAATAGGAAATTAGATGAAAAATACCAACGAGAAACAAACTTACTGTCGATTACTTAGGTTTCGCGATTTTAAATAAATTATCAAAAATTAGTTAAATTACATTTAAAACGCATAAATCGACTATAATAATAATGATCATTCCTTTCAACAAGTAATTTTAGAAGTTTAAAAAATTGCTATAACATTAACAGATTTTGTTTTCTACATAGGCATCTCAGGAAACTTTGTAATTCAATGTCTGAAAGAGAAGGATAGAGAGAAAGCGTGGGTAGAGAGAAAGAGCTCACGTGAGGGAGGGAGGAGAGGAGGGAGATCGAGAGCCCGATGCCAGGTTATCCTTACGTCTATCTGGCTTTTTGATATATTTTTCAACAACTATTTAGAAGCACATGTTCTGTATGGAGAGGCTGGGGATGGAAGGCTAGAAATACGCTCTAGCTGAATCGTGTGAGCTTTGTCCTTGATTGAATTATCCTATTGCACTACATAACACTATGACGGTCGCGTCTGGTCTGAACATTCATGTAGGCACATTCGATTGCTACAGCCGAATCCATTTATACCGAACAGCGTTCTCGGTAATATTTTTTTTAACCTAAGTACTAATGCAAAGTTTCACTCCCTGTGTCCAGATTCTCTTTCCAGTTACTTGTCAGCGTGAATGCGCTGCACTGCCCATGTTGCTTGCAAACGGGCATTCACGCCACGGTTTTCCATCATTCTTATTTATTTGCCGGCTCAGCTGGTTGTCGTCTAATAACATAAGTGTTGGAAATGTGTTTTCCCTTTGCTCTTTCATAATTAGTCCTTATTTCTGGCGTAATTTTCCCTATGTTAATTTCTTCGTTAAATGTACAATTTTTTGCTGTTTTGAACCCCTTTATATAATCATAGCGATGTTTCTGGCTAGTGATCGTTTATTCACCCTACTCCACTGAGTTTCTTCCTTCTCTAATCAGGTACTGTATTATTTGCTAATTTAGTCTGTCTCACTCCCGCATCCTCTCTCACACATATGCACACACCCATGCACGTGTTCACAAACACAAACTCTTGTTCTCTCTGGCTCGTTATACCGCTGTTTTTCTTTCTCAAATTCTCTCTTCAATTCGTTGTTCTTCTATCTTGTTCTCACTGCGCTTCCTCTTTATACCTGCATCTTGAGGCTTCTTATTTCGCATTCTTTTTGGATCGCCGTATCTTACTGGCATCGTGGAAATCATTAGAAGCTCTTTATATTAACTCTAACGATCATCTACTATGCCTGCTAGGTTCTGGCAGGGTTGCAGCAGCTTATATTGTATACAAGACAAATCCCCGTTGTCCCTGAGGCCAACATGTTAAAAGGCGTATCCATCTCTCCTTGTGGTCTCATCAGTTGTCGAGAAGCAACTATAATAAACTAATTAGCCTCTCAGTCGTTTCAATGTTTGTGATCAGCAGAGGAAAATTGGTATTTTATTGCGGATTATTCGGGATAAAACTCCCCGGGGTTAAGGAATGAAAATTGGTATTTTATTGCGATTATTAGTTGAGGTAAGAAATAGATAGCCTCCGAACGAAAGGAGGCCGACTCATTTGGCTGGAAGTTAAGACGAAAATAATGGGACCGCGGAAGCTAAACAGAAATTGATCCCCAAATTGAAACGCGGTTCGGACAAATATGGCGGTTGGTGTAGTTGTCTGTGATATGTATACTACAGTGCACAAACGTTATCCAAGCGATGCTTAGAGAATTGATGTTTATTTGGAAATATAGCGTGCTAAACGAAAATTGCATTGTAATTAGTGGAGAATGATTATTGATATTTAGATAACTATTTAAAATATAAACCTGATTATGAAACGAGAGCTAAAGATATAATGAGGTCAACAGGAAACGCCAGAATAGTCGTTCCCTCTTACGAATGTCTGTTATGTTCATGGAATGAGAAGAAAACGACATGTGATATTTTGAAATAACGAATTAAAATTCCCTTCATATGATGGACATACATTTAAAATATATTCATCAGTCGTATACACGGTATGCTCGATAGGAACCACGTTTTCTCTAAGTGACAATCATATCGTATATGCTTACGCATCGTCATGCACATGCATACGCAAATGACCAAAACCCGAAATAATAAAATGCCGTCCATGCAGGTCGTAATTTTTTTCCATTATAAATCTGAGGTACGGAAAACTCATAGTACTCAATATCACAGGCAGTTGGTCGTAAGCATTAGAATTAATACTGACCAGAATTTAAACTGAAATATGAACAGTTACCAATAAAATCAATAAAATTATGTAAATTAAATTGTTCGGTAACAATGTGACTGTTGGCAGTTTTATCAATTTATGCTAGTCGCTCGGGAACCTTCAGAGAGAATAAAAAATCTCAATTATTTTATTGGAATCTATTTGATTAAATTAAGAGCTAATTTGAAATTTTCACGAGTATGGTTTATTAGAATAATTTTCATTAGGTCTACGCACGGTCCTCTGAGATGATACAATAAACCAATCGTCTTCGCAAATCGTCTTGTTCGGAAAATGGTTTACTCTTATTTTGTGCGGTTATGAAATATGCATTTAATATATTAGTTTTCATAAAGCAGTGGTTTTCTATGCAAGTGCTAGATTTTTATTATACATAATAAATTACGCCAATAATTTAAAATTGTGTCTAGTTTTGATTCAGATTGAGTGGTTTCAGAAGATTTATTTGGGCTGTGCAGGTTCATATTGTAATATTGCGTTATCATTTCGAGATTGTTTAATTTTTGAATATATCGATGCGAAAAATGTCCATAGTTCAAATCGCTGTCATTAAAATATTTATTCAATATATTAATTTCATATAGCTCTCGTTATCTATGTAAGTGAGAAATCTTTATTATAGATTATAAATTATGTCAATAATTTAATATTACCTCTAACTTCGATATAGATTGAGTGGTTTCAGAAGATTTACTTGTGCTGTACAGGTTCATACCATTATCTTCTGTAATAATGTTCAGATGCTTACTAATTAAATTTTTTAACATCTTGATGCAAATCATTTTATAGTTTAAGCCGTAAATAGTCATATATTGTGTGTATTTTGTTACACTTGTGCATTAGTGTTTCAAGCACCTCAACTCAAATGTCAAGGAATATAGTAATAAGAATCGTGGCAAGGACAACAGTATCGTTAGCCTCGCTATTATGTGTAGTTATACTAATATTTTGATACCAACTCATTCTTTTTTACTCAAAAATTTTGGTTTCTTGCATGTAGATTGATTTGGTTATATATTTATATTTGCGATACAGAACGAGATTCAGGGCGGGATAAGTACAAAAAACACTAGTATTTAAATCATTATAAAATGTAGGCTTTATTACATTTATTGATAATAGCAAAATAAAAACCTGACGTGATATTATGCTGGCTGTGTTGTTAAAATCTAACAAAACATTTTGATGCAACACCCAGAACGAGTGTCAGACAGCTTACGCGTACTCTCACTGCAAGGCAGTGTGCATTGAAAAAGCCTGTATACATAATCCACACTGCTGTGCGCGTGTAAACCTCAAGCAGAATTCCGATAGGTTTTTATATCTTGCAGAATTTCACACGAAAGAACAAAGTAATTTTCATCGAAAGAATTGCGGTTGGCTCCCGCGTGTCCAGACCTTAAACCGGACACGCCAGTTTATCTCGCCGAAATATTCCCAATATACAGGCTATTTCAATGTAGCATGATAATATCATAATAAATCTTAATGTGTGATGTCATCCCAATTAAGCAAATGATTCCTAGATTTCGAGAAAACATTGGGTGGTGCTAAGAAGACGAAACGAATGACGATAAAGCAGACGCAATTAAGGCCATGTATATTTTCTATCTCAGATGAGGCTCAGTGAATGTATTCGTGGACTAGACTCGAGCCTACACAGCGCATGCAGAGAGAAAAGAGTGGAAGATATGCAGGGACAGAGGAAGTCGAACGAGAGAAAGATGCGGACGAGAAAGAGCGAGAGAGCAAGAAAGAGAGAGAGAGAGAGAGGGGGGAGAAAGAAAGAGGGAGAGAGAAAGTGAGAAGGAAGAGAGAGGGAGAAGAAAGAGAGAGGGAGAAGAAAGATGAGAAAGAGGAGACGAGAGTAGAACGATGAGAGAGAGAGAGACGAGAGAGAGAGGAGGAGACGAGAGAGGACGAGAGAGAGGAGTAAAGAAGAGCTTTATGAGTGATGAAAAACAAAAATACAGGGCCAAGCTAAAGTGAATACGAGAGAGCGAACGAGGGGGAGAAAGAGCAAGCGTAAGAAAGAGGCTACTGATGAAACAGAGAGTACAAGAGAAGAGCGAAATAGAGGGGCAGAGAGAGAGAGAGAAAGAGAGAGAAAGAGGGGAGCAAGAGAGAGAGGGAGAGAGAGAGAGAAGGAAGAGAGAGGGAGAAGAAAGAGACAGGGAGAAGAAAGAGAGAGGGAGAAGAAAGAGAGAGGGAGAGAGAGAAATACCATACAGCGCTTATCGACGATGTTCTATAAAACGCACGTCGTGTTTTGCCTGCTGGAGTAGAGGCGACAACAGCGAGTATTATGGAGTCAAGAACCCACGTTTCAAGTGGTATGGTCAACATGATACGATACGAGAACGGGTGCGTGTAAAACACGGCTTGTCACTTTTGGCAAACAGAATAATCGTCGCAGACTGTCCTTCTCATTTCGCTGCAGGGTCAGCTCGCAGACGAAAACCGAAGATCGCCATTGTGCTCATTATTAGTCCTTATACGATGGTTTCAAGAGCTGTTCTGTAGCCTAATGACGACTGATTGATTTACAAAGTAGGTGCGCGGTGCGGTACAATCGGGCAGTCGTCTCCTCTGCGTATCGGAGCCTCGCGTCCGTGCTAAAGATAGAGCGCCATCCATCGCCGACGCTCAGGCGCTCCCACTTTACTGCTGCTCGTCTGATTCAAAGCGCCTTCGTTTCCATCGTCTCTGTGTTATCGACTGTTTGCCACGAGGGAATCTCGATTAAGTCGAAATTAATACACGATCACGCCGCAAAATGTAACAGATGCAGATATGATCGTTGCGAGACGGGTCTAATAACTGGTCATGCGCGGGAGTGAGATATTGCGTTCGCATAACAGCCGCGTCCTCTAAAATACACATTATAACGTTTACCTGCTTACACCGCGCCAGCGTATTTTCTTACACCGCACATCAGAGTATACACCATAAAATACATACATGAACAACAACAGCTTTTGATTGTATAGTGTACCTTACATTTCGCGTCGTGGGAGTATACCTCAACTGAATTATACGTCAATGACAGAATGCTTCTACAAAAGAATAAGCAAACGAAGGAATTCATGATACATTTGGTTCGACAGAGTGATGTTCGAGCTATAAGCTAATAGCGTGCTGTGTGTAGAGCCAGCAGGGGGCACAAAGCTATATTACATACCCCGTATTGGCATGCCACCCACTAGCCCAGCACACAGGACACGGGGAGAACCCTGAGGTAAGCCGAGGCCAAAATAACGAAGACAAATACTGTAAAGGCTCTTAACTAGTAGACTCAAAACACATGTACAGCTTAATATATAATATGTAGTAGTATGTACAACACAAATAAGTAAAACAAATATTCTTAACTAAACAAAATCAAATATAATATCGACGAAATTAAAGCTACTGTGTTAAATTGATGGTAGCTATACGTATATTGAATAAACCATTTCGAATAAGCCGAGAAAGCTTGCCATGCAAGTTCACTAAAGCTTACATCACACATACTTCTCGAGACAATGTTACATATTAGTTAGTAATAGCAGAAAGATCAATAGACCATCGAAGGTTAGCGTACACTTCACCGTTAATGTTTACGCGTAATGCTATAAGCAATAAGTCTTAAAGCCATGCTACGAACAGAGACTCTGCACGTTACTTACACACAGTATGGCTCACAGCCACAAGTTACATGATATTACTAAGCCTTAATGCGATAGAATTTAGTCTTACACTTTCATTATAAATGCACCTGTGAAGTTACGCAATGCCCTAATCCTGTTAATCGTTGATATAATATAATATAATATAGCGTCAAAGCAGAGCACGCCCTATCATGCACTAAACAAATTGCATTTTGACATCTTATCTTTACACCTGAGATTGAGCACCATACACTGGCCGCCATAAGTGATCGAAGCTACCACTGCGTGATCATCACTCCAGTGTATCACATGTCGCCTTGAAGCAGTATGTAGCAGCCCAGTCACTCTCGCGCCCCATTGAATGAAGCCACCCTTCATATGCATACCAAATGCAGCAGCTTGTGATCGATACAATTTGCAGCTAACGAATATGCGACAACACCAATGCGCTAAGCTAAACTGGAGGTAGTAAGCGTCAAACAGAGGTAGCAGTGACAGCTGAATCTAGGCTGTGCTCGGTCGTCACGTGCGCGAACAATCCGGCGGGAGTGTTACACTCCTTGTTGCATACTTTACACGTCGTGCTCCATAGCCACATCCCCGGAACCCTCGGCATGTCATCGCCGCCAAACGGTCGTTCGGGGCTGCATGACCTCACCTGCACCTCTCTCTTGATATCGATCATCGACGACGGCGGGCTGGAACCCGTGGTCGCCGAAGCAGTGATCGCCGGAGGCGAGGTTCTGCTTAGGCCGCGAAACATGGGAGCGTCTCCCATCTTTGGTGTCAGGCCATTTGTAAAGGAGGTAGCGAAGGGAAAGAAGAGATTCTCGGGCGGCGGGGCGCGAGCGAGGCTGTTCATCATGCGGGCCGCATCGACAGGGCTTGGCAGCGGCCGATCGAACGACATGCGGCGGCCACGTCGCGAGGTGTTGTTCCACATGTGCGTGCCCATGTGAACCTTGAGGTTGCCCTTCGTCGTGAACGCCTTGCCGCACACGTTGCACTTGAACGGCTTCTCGCCCGTGTGCGTGCGCATGTGAATCTGCACGGCCGAGCTGCTGCTGAAGTGCTTCAGGCATACCTGGCATTGGTGCCGCGAGTCGGTGAGACGCCCCGGCGAGCTGGGCGGCCTTGACGTGACGGGGGCGCCCATCTGCTCGCGGTCGTCCATGTAGTCGCCGGCGGCGCCGCCCTTCTTCTCGCATCCCGACGTGAACGCCTGCGGAGGCAGGTCGCGAATCTTGTGCGTTAACATGTGCTGCTTGAGGTTGTCTCTGCTGAGGAACGAGCGCTCGCACACCTCACATCTGTAGCTCTTGTCGACGCCGTGCACGCGCATGTGGATTGCGAGCTCACTGTGCGAGTGCACCTGCTTGAAGCAGATACGGCAAGTAGGCGTCATAATGCATGTGTCGCGGTTGGTGCTTAAGTCCAAAACGCCATTCTCTCCAGAGCCGCCAGGAGGCCTTATCATCGGAAGATTTCCATTATGCCGCTCGGGACTGCCATCAAACATCTCAGACTTAATGTCACCCCCAGATGGGTGGCAAGATGCTGGTAGATCTTTAGCAATGCCCTGGTCTAGCTCACACGTGAGTGAGCCCTCACTGCTAGGGGGCAGAGAGCCCTCACTTGGCGAACGTGCATTGGTGAGATCGCCCGGGTCCTCTTTATAAATTTTGTGCTCGTCCTTTTCGTTGCTGCTGTGGATGTGGTTGTCTGAGGTAGATGAGACAGAGATCTTGTCCTCTGCTTGAGGTTCGTCGGAATGTTGGAAATCAGCACGCGATTCCTGCTGCTCGAAGAGGGCGAGCTGGCGCGGAGATGCTCGCAGGTGCTGCATCTCTGCCGTGTCGGAGGCGCTGTCCATGCTGTCGCCGTACAGGCTGTCACCAAGCATCATGTCGTCGTCGAACATTTCGTCCTCCATGTCGAGGTCCATCGGCTGACCCTTCGTGTGCATGCGAATGTGCTGCTGCAGCACGATCTGGTTACTGAACTGCCTGTGACAGACGGGGCAGTCGTGCAGCACCTGCCCGGGTAGTCGGATGCGATGCACGCCCATGTGCGTCTTCAGGTTGCCCTTGGTCGTGAAACCGCGCGAGCAGATGCGACATTTGAACGGCCTCTCGCCGGTGTGCGTGCGGTAGTGCATGTTCAGCGAGCTCCTGCAGCTGAGCACGCGATTGCAGACGATGCACTTGTTCGGCTCGACGATCGTCTTCTGCTCGATGTTGTTGACGAGCTGCTGCAACTTGGATGTCTCCGGAGTTCGGTTCACCTCCATGTACTCTTCGAGGTCGCCGCTTGCGAACTTGCTCGGGCTGATGATCTCTGCGACGGCGGTTTCGCTGTTGTAGTCCGTGTTCACGCTGAGCGGCTTCTGCACTGGCTGTTTGCTCTCGAGCTGCTGCGAGTTCGCCATGCTAGAGCTGACGGGAGTGCCCGGAGTTGGAGGCTCCGACGAATTTCCGTCCATCTCTCCCATTTCCTCTGCCTCCATAGATTCGATTGCCTCCATAACTACTCGCGCATCGTTGCTGTTTTCATCTTCGGACTGCTGTTCTTCAGTGAACGGCGATCCAGGGCTGTAGTCATCGCGTGGCCCATACTTGCCATCTCGGGGCATGCCTCTTTCGAACGCATCATTCTCTCTAGCAGAGCTTCTCTCCAGTGAATCCATTTCAAGTAGTTCCCTTGGCGAAGTTTCCCTTTGCGACCCTGTAGAACTGCAGGGAGGCAGTGCGAGTTGAGGGAGGGGAAGCATGGAAGAGGTAGTTGGCAAGTGAGGAAAGTTGGCCATCAGAGGTAGAGGCAGGTGCCGAGATGTAAACAGTGGTGGCATGTGAGGTAATATGGGTGCGGCGGACGTGATGCGGTCCAAATATTCGGGTATAGGGTGAGGATTCATGGGTATGTGGGGATACCTGGCGCGATGGCGCTGGAAGTGAACCTTCAAGTTGCCCTTCGTGGTGAAGCGACTGCCGCAGATGTTGCATTTAAACGGCCTCTCCCCGGTGTGCGAGCGAAGGTGGATCTGCAGGGCGCTTTCACTCCCAAAGGCCTTACCACAGTAACCGCAGCGGCGTCGCAAGAATGGGTCGTCTGTTTTCCTATCAAACGGATTCAGATTGTTTCGATCTCCAGGACCTGCGCTGGGGATTACTCCGGCTGCCGTTTGCGCTAACAGTTCTAAAGCACCAGGCAATCTCGGTGGAAGCACTGAGGTAGACGTCGTTGGCGTCTGGGAGGTTGACGTTTGATTGGCGCTGTACGGCGGCGGGGGACTTGAGCTGGCGCTAGTCGGCTTGCTGTCTTTCTTTCCCACCGCCGAGCGTTCTGCTGTTGACGACAGTGGCACTAAGCTGCTCACTAGAGGTGTTGCGATTGCACTGGTGGGCGTCGAGACGACGGCAGTGCCCCCTCGCATCGCGCTCGTCACATTGCCTGTGCTGGTGACGCTGCTAGAGATGGGCGTCAGGGGAGGCATGCTGGGCGGGGGCATCACGCCAAGCTGGGCCTGCAGCTGCTGTAGAAGTTGAAGCTGTAGCAGCTGATGCTGCTGCAGTGAGTCGAGCGTCTGGTAGAGATTTGTCAGATCCGACGGCGGAAAGTTGTTGGCGGCGAACTGCGCCACGGCCACTTTCGTGTTCTTCATGCTCTCAACAACGAGGCTTGCCGTGTCGGGCAGCAACTTAAACTGCGAAAACACGTGAGGTAGATCGGACAGCGTCTTTGATCGGAAGTCGCACTCGTACTGGCTGTCTTCAGCTGCGTCCATGGAGTCGGTGTCACCGCTGGTGTCCTTTAGGAGGTCCGTCTGTGACTCGTATGCGCCCTCGGTAGGCAGCTGTCCACTGTCGTCGGGGATTAGCACCAGTCTCTTGCGGGAGCACGACTTCTTGTGTTGCAGGAAGTTCGACAGACCGAAGAACTCCGCGTTGCATTTTCCGCAGACGTGAGCGTCGTTGCCTTCGCTCTCATCTTCGCCACAGCTGTTTGTCCCCGTTCCAAAACCTGCGGAGAGAATAGCAGAGAAAAATCAGGCGTCTGAATGTCGCACGTGCGAATACAATACCCTTGCAAAATTGTACAAACATGATAGTATCTGTTATCTTAACAACACTGTCAACCGAAATTTCGCCGAATTCCGCTATCACTTCCCCCCCAAATATTCGTTTGCTATCACAAGAGCAGCGTCGGGGACAGAAAACATTAGTCATAACAGAATATGATTTCGTTTCCTTTTCAGAAAACTACAGAGGAAACTTTTTTCTGGAAAAATGCCAATAGGATCCCCCCTTACTGCGTTCATAAAAGAATACTGATCGTAGTTGAACAAACACCTATAAAAATAATTGCAATTCCTCTTAGGGGGAAAACGCGGAGAGGAAACAGGTTGACTGAATTATGAGCTGAAAAAATAATAGCCCGCGATCTACTGAAAATATTTGCAAATATGTAAGGGCGACCGCCCTGACCATAGAATATTTACGCTGAGCTCGCATACATGGGCATGGCTACCAACTCGTATTTGTTAGCTTTGCACAAAATGTTCGCCCGCGAACACAATACAACGCGCCGAACTCTATTCCCAGGCTATCGGAATGATTTCGAAGTGCATTCAGAATATCACTAATATTTTTTGCACGTACCACCGGCGATATCGTGTCAGATTGCTGCACCTTTATTGAGCAGAACGCTGCAGATTACGTTATCTCGTTTTGTTATCTCTCTTCTCGCTTAACACTTCACTCGCGAGCGACACACTGTTCCGATATGCGTAACGTGTAGACACGCGCGTAATGCGCTCGTTTTGCTTGGAGGAGCCACACGTGCGCGCGCTACTGGTCGGTAGATAAAGAGCTAGAGCGGCTTGTAGAAATAAAATCAGTGCGAGATATGCACATAAAAACAGAGAGAGAGAGAGAGAGAGAAAGAGAGAGAGAGAGAGAGAGAGAGAGAGAGAGAGAGAGAGAGAGAGAGAGGCAGGGAGAGAGAGAAAGAGAGGGAGGGAGAGAGAGCGAGAGAGAGAGCGAGAGAGAGAGAGAGCAAAATAGCAAAGGAATGAAAGCACGTACGCGAAAAAGACATGTATAAAATTATATATATGCATACATACACAGGTACACATATCTTTTTCGCGTGTGTGCTCATTTATTGTACCGTCTATATATATATATATATATTGCGGGAGAGAAAAAGAGAGACAAAGAGCGTGAGATTTACAAAGAAAGAGGAATAAAAGGAAAGGAGGCGGCCAGAGAAACGCACGCACGCGCACGCGCGCACACAGTGTGTGAGAGAGAGCGGGGAAATCTAGGACAGTAAACGATCAAGAAAACGTATGAAAGATAGAGCGACGTATACAAACAGCATGACAGGTATAAGAGGGAGGAGATAGGGGAGATAGGATCGCGAAACAGGATAGAAAGGAGAGACGAGCGAGAAGGGGAGAGAAGGAGCAGGAATGAGATTTGAAACTCGGACGCTTCGTCAGCAATGCCGCATGTTATGGAATTGTAACATTTTTGCAGAGCTTGCCCTAGATATGCACGTTTTTAGCAGCTCCCCGCAAGCGTGATGCAGCAGCAGCTGAAAATAATTTCTGCGAAACCGGAGAACCGGGTGCAGTGATGCCCATCTATCTATCTGTCTATTTCAGACCATTTTAAAGATTACAGTTGGGAGGTTTCGACCTTGGCTTGCAGCCCAAAAGTGATTGACCCGATCAGGTTTAGCTAAAATATTCTTTTAATAGCTCGCTAGCACGAACGTTGTAGCAAGCGGAGTTGACCACGTTATGAAGGTTGTTTATATTTCGCGCCCAACTGCAATGCAGACACATTATCTTCTAGATCGGTACAAGTATGTTGAGGGTAAACAACTATATGGAAGCAATATGGCGTGTGAGATCAGTGGATGAATTTAGATCGAAGACCACCCCAGTGACTAACTACACGTTTTCAATGAACATTGATATTCAAATGCGAATTCACCGCATTTCTGTAATAACCTGCCACACATATTTAATGTATAACAAGGTTGTTTGTCCTCAAACAGGCCATTTTAAATGCAGTATTCCATACCCGTGCTTCAAACAGTTAAATCAGAGTTTCTTTGAACCTCAAGTGATTCCATTATATTACGAATACGAAAGTTTTTTTAATCAAAGGCCTGGCGGGCATTGCCAGCTATTCTCCCGCTTGGCAGAACACGCATACGCGCATTTTGTAGTCATTGAAATTTTTTGAAAGTACTTTGATCAACTCGTACTCTACTGCATTTCGTACCTGAGATACACGCGCAATAAGGGGCAGGTGTTAGTAACCGTTAATGAAATGAAACGGATCACGTCGTAAATACGGCCGCTATAGACACGTGCCTATAACAAGCGCACCTTGCTTGTTACGCACTTCATTGCGTTACACCGAAAAAATGGTGACTTGGTCGCATACGTCACAGTATGCGTATTAGGTCGTAGTCAGCGTGTATAACAGTATAGAGATATTCTAAAGTCTCAGTCCGTGAAACCAGTTGTTCGCCGCGTGCATGCACTAACAGTGCACGCGAACCCCCAATATTGCGAGCTCTATTAATTTTATAGACCCGTATGAGGTATATGACGCTTAAACCGCAGCCGGTTCATATCAGTTCACACGCTATTGCTGTCCATTGTCGCACGCTTGAAGTAGGCAATAGCTCAAAGCGTTCAGTCTTCACAAGCTGTCGCCTCTGAATAATTGTTAGAAGCGGGCGATGGTGAATGTGATATGATTTGTGAGTAGGGTTAACCGTCTGCCGATAGGCCGCAATTGCTATGCCATGCTATTATAGTGTGGTAACGCATCACCATCGTCATGTAAAACTATCGTGAAAATTACGCTACGTCGTCGGTAGAAATATTACGCATTTAATAAATATGACAACAATAAGTTGTGATTTAGCGTCACACGCTTGAATCGCTAAAGCTGCGCGGGTATGCGTCGGGTGAAATAATATTGAAATCAAGAGATCTATCTTGAAGCGAACTTGACGGTACAGACTTGCTTTGTGTGGAGAGCGCCCCGACCTGACTATGTAGCGAGGAAAGATCCCGACCAAAAGCAAAATCTGCATCAATCTTCATTTAACCATTTACTTCGCCGAAGGTGAAGTAAACCCTGACGATTGTTACACACGAGCGATTCGCCATGTTGTCTCCATTATACACGCGTAGAAGGAACATATCGCACATGCTGAAGTTTTAAACCACTTGTCTGTCATAAAAAGCGATGGGCTTTTTTCAATCGCCTCCAGGCAAACTTCAGAAAGTCTTAACCAACGTATGACTGATGGATGTCCCATCTTTCGTTGTCGACCGTCAAGTCGAATTGCACAAGCGTAATAAAAATGCTATAGGTTATAACAATATAAAAATACGCGTCGTTTCAACTTAGAAGTCACATGCGCACACCTTCTATCTGCCCGAAGATTAACGCGGACAACACATTTTGTACAAAAATGCCGACTGGTTTTGCTAACCGTGGTCATGAACAAAGGTCTCGTGCGTGAGGTCAGGGGGTAGGAGTTGCTGTTTGCTACTGCGCAATGCGTTTGTCTACGCTGGCCCTGTTTTCGTGTTTGCAATAAATATCCCACCCCGTCTAAGCTCCCGATACAAATACCTTATGCATGCTGCATGTTTAGAAATCTGCTGACGTTTATTGCCGAAGACTATCACGAAAGTGGATACTAACCGCAGCTTCTGTTACCAGAAAGTAGGTCACGTTTAAAATTCGTGCCAATAAAGATTCCACCATCTGTAGAACCAATCTGTACGGATCAGCGAAATTGTATGGCTCATGCTTGCTTGGCTGGTCTGCAGCTATAGTAAAGCAAGTTCATTTAACTTTATCAGTTCGGACACCGGCTAGCCAAAGCAGTTTATAGTAAGTCGCTAACCGGCCGTTACAGCCATAAATCAGATGACAGGCGCTTCGCACAGACACCAGGTCTGCTTGTTAATGCATCGATTCATCTATGCAGGAAAACCGAGAAGAATGCAGTTTTGTGAGTTTAGAATACGTCTAATTGCATCGGCGTACAATTACGCCTTCTTTTGACGCTCATTGTGCTCGTGGACCCTGAGAGATCCGAGGACTATATTCGAAAAGTTACTGTCCCTTGCTATCTGTATCACATATCTCGGGCACACGATAATGACAATGTCACCAACCTAAAACTGTCGTCCCCTTATTTAAAAACGATTTCCGAAGTGGCGTAAAAATTCTTGTCGACTGTGAAACTTGAGTAGGACACCTCCACGACATATCTCACTTAACTAGCGAGCAAGTCTACAGTAGCCAGTTTACATTTTGTTTTGCTATATAGTTGACATTTTGAGGTATGAAGATCGAGTAGGCTGCATTGTGAATCAAGGACAGGTAGAGGGTGGGGCTCGTCGTTAGGTAGGAGCAATACACTTAGTCACAAGGGTTGGTGTTCATATATAGCCAATCGTATTGCGAAGGGTTGGGATACATGAGAATTGTAAAATAACATTGCGCGGGGGGATCCGGATATCACGGTTATTCAGAAGCAAGGTAGGTACCGGGTGCATAGGAGTAGTGTAGAGTATATAGTTATTCAGGAACATGGGGACTGTATAACTTGTAAGGTATAAGATTGGTTATGGGCATGGGAGAAGTGTGAGATGCACACTTGGTCAGGGCATGGGGGAGTGTGGGATACATATATATAGTCAAGGACAGAGGCAAGATTTGGATGAATGGTTAAGGAGAGGTATGTGGAACATGATTAGTTGGGGGCATGGGGGAAGTGTGAGCTACATGGTTTTCCAGGAGCATGAGGACCCATGATTGATGCTACATGTTTAGCCTATAGCATGCGAACTTGTGTTTGTGCATGGTTCGTAGGGGGTATGTGATAATGTGGGTTGCATAGGTAGTCTGGATCCCAGGGAATAGTAGGATACGATGTTACTCGGGCACAAGTGGTGAGGGCAGGGTGTAATA